AAATATATATATATATATATATATATATGATTGGTCCATATCATTTTAGAAGTCGTGAGAATTCTCAACTTTGAAGGTTCTAAGCATTTTTGGATTCGTTTGGAAAGTAGATTGACTTTTTGACTTTTTAACTTTTTAATTATTTTAGTCCGAGATTAAAAAGTCTCGCTCGGAAATGACTTTTTTGACTTCTTATGAGAGCGAGAAAGAATGTAATGATTATGAGTTAGATGTGATATTTTATCTTATTAAGTTAAAAAATCTATTTTATTTTTTTATGATTAAAATAATCTCAAACCCAATCCAATCTAACTTGCGAAACGAAACCTTTGTATATATATATATATTACAATATTTCTAATCGTGTATTCATTATGGTTTGGTGTGGGTTCCGAATCATTACATTGACATAATTTATTTTTGGATTTAGTTTCTTTCAAACTCCCAATCTCAAGTGGGGAGAGTATTTAGATTTGATAGACTTATTTTTAGTGATTTGAATTGTTCAATTTTTAATATTTATTGAGTAAAATATTTATGCAAAAAAATTAAAATGTTTCAATTATGGGTAAATTACGCTAACATCCCATGAAGTTTCTGTTTAATACAAATCCCCATCATATTTAAAAAATTACACTTACACCCATGTTAGATTAAAATGATATATTTGCCCCTTAGCTTTTTACATATAAAATAATAAAATAATACTGAGATTTTGTTCACGTCATTTAAAAAAAATAACAATCATCTTATTTAGTTTAACTCATACAAAAAATTCAATTTCTTATTTTTCGTATTTTTTATTTTTACTGATTTTTTAATATTTTAAGCAATTGTTTTTATTTTTATTTTTTTAAATACACCTAATCCAGATATCCTTAAGAAGTATAATATTTTTTTGATTTTTTTTTAAATTCAACAAATGCACAAAATACAAAAATATAAAAATTTAGTAATACTGTAATAAATATGAATGACGGTGTTTAGTAATACTATAATAAATGTGAGTGAATAGACATGAAAGAAAAATGATAGTGGAAACAAAAGTGAAAAATTCTATTCATATATAAAAATTTATACAAAAAATATCATAAAAATATTGTGATAGTGATATTGTTATTGTTATAAATATAAATCATGTTTATGGATATTTTGTTTTAAAGTGAAATGTCACTATTAAACTATATCATTGTATTTCAAAATTTTATATAAAATTTATATTTGTATATCATCACTTAATAAGCATATGTTCAGGTAAAATTTAATGATAAAAAGTTATAGAATACAATCATGATGATAGAGAGAATAAATAGCAAGAAAAAGAGAGAGCAAAATGGTCATTTAAAAAAGAGTTAATTACCAAAAAGTCATGTCTACATATTTGGTGGTAGCTTAGGTCCTGTCAAAAAAATTTTGAACCAATAAGTCCCATTTATAGGTAAAAAGATGTTTTGCCCTTTAATCACAAAACTGTAAATGTTCTCAATTTCAAAACTAAAAATGTTCTCAATTTTCAAAACAGAGAATGATTTCAATATATAATTATCAAAACTAAGAAATTTCTCAAATTTTTTTCTAGTATGAACTGAGAATATTATCAGTTTTGAAAAATCTCTCAATTTTTTTGGTGCGGTGACTTTGGAGAAATCGAAGCTCGATATGACGCAAAAGCAAACCACATCAAGTCCTGAGGTATGTGTTCTCTTCTTGCTTGATCACATAAAATCTACCATTATTTTATAGTTGCTTCATACTACATAACAGTTTCTTCTCTATTTTTCTTCATGCAACTCGTTCCAAACCAAAAAAAAAAGAAATCAAAAGCTTTTCAACACTAGAACACTGCACAAGAAGTCAAAATTCAGCTCCTTATGCATATACATGAGTTGCAAAATTCATAAAAACAAATAGATACGAACTAGACGATTGAGGGTGGATTCGAGTCTGACGACAGTGAAATTTGGGGGAAACTTAGAGGACCCATGAATGGAAGAATCTTGTTGAAGAACTCTAACCTCGTCCTCTTTGTCATGTCCTTCTCCTCCTAGAATGGAAGATTACGGGTGGCGGCTGCTCTTCGTGGAGGAGACATCATTGTACAATCGTGCGGTGCTGGGAGCTTTCTTGCCGAGTAATGTGTGGGAACCAGTCCCTCACTTCTTCCAGACGTGGCTCCGGAACTACATTGGAGTAATCCTCATGTACTTCGTATCTGGTTTCCTCTGGTGTTTCTGCATTTATTACTTGATCAAAGTTTATCATCCTAAAGGTACATTCTTCTTATAAATACAGATATATACATATAAATGTATATATATTTTGTTTAGTTCGAGGAGGAAAATTCAGGGTTTGAAACGATTTTCAGAGATTTGAGACTGGGGAGAAGAAAGAATGCGTGTCTTGTAAGGGTAAATTGGTCAATTAAAAATTAATGGGACTTAAAGGAGTAAATAATTTTATATAGGACTTAGGGGGTGTTTGTTTTGGAAGGATTGGGCATGGGATTGGACTATTAGTCCGGATGGACTAATAGTTCGTTGTTTGTTTCAAAAGTTTTGCTCCGGACTATTAGTCCCATATTTGTGGGACTATGTTATCCCATGGGGGGTGTGGGATAAAAATCATGGGATAACTCATCCCATGGGATTAGCTAATAAAATTACATTTTTGCCCTCTGATATTTAATTATGTATTATATTTAATAAAATTCAATAAAATTTAAATGTCTCAATTTAAAAATAAAATAATTTAATTTAATTTTTATTTTTGTTTTATTTATTTAATTTTTTAAAATAATTTTTTATAGATATTTTATTTTAAAATTTTGTTTATATTTTATTTAATTTCATTATTTAAATTTTAATACATGTTTTATTTTATTTCACTATTTAATTATTATTATTTAAAATAAATTTATTTAAAATTTTAATTAAAAAATAACATATATTTTTATTGGTATTTAATTTTTTTAAATAAATTTATTTAATTGTGCAAAAAATAAAATAAAATAAATTTTTATTTAATCTAGCTAAAAATAATTAAAATATTAAAGCTATGTTTAATATTGCTATTACTTAGTAAATAATTGAAAATGATAAAATAGTTATTTGAGTATTTATTATTCTCCATAATATCCTAAACAAACATTAGATTCACTAAAAATAATCAAATTCAAACATTTAATTCTACGACTAAACAAACATAAGATACAAATCTAGTCCAACCAAATAGTCCGGGGACAATATATCCCAGGACTAATAGTCCGATGGATTACAATCCCTCCTTATCCAGTCCGTCCAAACAAACACACCCTTAATGGATTATAAGTTCACAAAATGAGACTTGTATTTAAATGCCCTATTAAAAAATTTTAGGATATGACATTAGCTATTTAGAGAGTAATTTATAATGTGATTTAAACCTTATGAAAGAATATGTAATTTTTCAAAGAGAAGAGTCTATATTAAACAAAAACATCGGGTGTCAGTGTAATTTACACTTCAATTATTCATCTTGCCTATATCTAATGTGAGAATCAAACCACGTTAATGCCATAAGAGTGTGAATAATTAAATTGCTCCAGCACTTTACATTGCGGTTCAATAATTGCTCAATCACGTGGTATGAAAAGATGTTATTTTAGAACTTGGGTGACTGTTTATGCACTGTTGTGTGGTTAATGAAATTTTTTATTTTGATAATTTAAATTATTTAATTAAGGTATGATGAACATGAAGTTCGACTCTCTTTGTTAAAGGTCACTATTAAGTTATATTATTATATTTCAAAATTTTATATAAAATTTATATTTGTATATTATCACTCAATAAAAGAATATGTTTAGGTAGAATTTAATGATAAAAAATTATAGAATATAGTCATGATGATAGAGAGAATAAATGGCAACAAAAAGAGTAAAATGGTCGTTTAAAAAATTTTAGAATATGATATTAGCTATTTAGGGAGTAATTTATAATGAGATTTAAACTTCAAAAAGGAAAATATAATTTTTCAAATGCTAGAAAAGAGTCTATAATAAACAAAAATCTTAGGGTGTCGGTGTAATTTACCCTTCAATTATTCTTCTTGCCTTTATCTGATGTGAGAATCAGACCACGTTAATGCCATAAGAGCGTGAATAATTAAATAGCGCAAGCACTTTATATTACGTGGTTCAATAATTACTCAAACACGCGGTATAAAAAGATGTTATTTTAAAAGTTGGGTGACTGTTTATGCACTGTTGTGTGGTTAATGAAATTTTTTATTTTAATAATTTAAATTATTTAATTAAGGTATGATGAAGATGAAGTTCGACTCTCTCTGTTATATGTTTATAATAAAAAAATTTCATTATATATCTACTGATTATGAAATAAGAATACACATTAATAATTATTTTAAATTGATAAAAGACCATTACACTTATTATTAAATGATGTAATAAAACATTTTCATTATAAATATGACATGGAGAGTATCATAATCGATGTAGGGATTATACCTATTTGATGCAGGGTAGAATAATGAGATGAAACTCAAACACAAAAACTAATCATGAATTTGATCAAAGAGATATTCTTTATTGAAAAATGGGGTAAATTGCATTGACACTCACTACAAGAATAGTGGGATTTAATGGTGTTTATTTAGCGACGTTTAAAAAAATGCCTCTGTTTTTAACATTTAACGGCGTTTTTATAAACGTCGCATTTTGTTTAATAATACGACGCGGTTTTAATTTCAGAAGTCGTTTTTAAAACGCCTTCGAATGTGTTCTTTTATGTTTTTTTAATATGCGAGAACATAATGCAGCGCATTCACTCTCTCCCTCCTTCTGTCTAAACCTTGATTTCAGTCTCTCTCTCTGTCTCTCTCTCTCTCTCTCTCTTCAAACCCCTTCGCGTATTTGTAGAACCGCAGCTGAACCCCTTTGTATTCGTAGATCGATTCATGTATTCGAAGATCGGTTCAAGTATTATTCACTCTCAGTCTTGCTCTCTCTCTCTAAACCCTTGATTTCAATCCATCTCGCTTCAAACCCCTTCGTTTCAGAGACAACCCTTCATATTTGTAGAACCGTAGCTGAACCCCTTCGTATTTGCAGATCGATTCAAGTATTCATAGATCGATTCAAGCCTCTTCTCTAGTTCGCGTTCGCGTTCGCGTTCGCAGCTCTTTCTTCATAGTAAGTATTGATCAGTCTCATTTCTATCTTCTTACTGACGGAATCATTCGATTCAAGTATGCTAGGTTTCATCTACTTTATCATTCTTAGATCAGATTGAAGATCTATTAATTTGATTCAAGTATGGTAGGTTTCGATTGAAGATCTATTGATCGATTGAAGATCATAATGTGTATTGTAGATGTCATAATGTGTATTGTAGATATTTGTATAGTTTTCACAGGTTAATAGTCATCTGTTTTCTTATCAGATGGATGATTTGTAAATTTCTATGATGAGCTACACTTTGGAATGTTTATGCTGCTAAAAGTGTTAATCCCAAATTAGTTGGGTTGGCTTGGCTTGGATATCCATTTTTTGTTGACAATCTTGATTGTGAAAGTAAAATGGCACTATTATTGGAATAAGTAATGTTCATACGTTAGTGCTTAATCTGACTCTGTTCATGCAGATGGTGATGGCTGTTTTCGCATACATCTATCATCAGTCATTTGTTGCATCACAAAGTTTATCGGTTGAGATGATTTTGGACCAGGTAAGTTTGTGTACTAGAATGCTGATTTGCTTGTGGATATATTTTTACATTCAGATTCAATCAATAAACATGAGGAATTATTTTGGTGGCATTTCTGTGATGCAGATATTGATGAACCTCACTTTCGAGGAGCAGTGAGCTCTGTACACGTATGTTTGTAGCTTCTCCAGGTGATCATCATTCTCATTCACTCAATACTAGCTTCTCAATCTGGAAATAAATAAGTAAATAATAATAATGCCTAATTTATCAACGTTGTTATCTACTTACATGTATGTTTGTAGGACTCACACAAAAAATATGGTGGCGTAACAGGTCAGATAGTAGGGCCTACTTATGAGGAAGAAAAAAAGAAGAAAAAAAAAAAAACAGTCAATTGCTGTGTGACCAATGGGACAATTTGCTTTCTGTGTCTGTTTCTGTGAATTTCTCCTGTGTTTGTAGACTGATTCTTATGTAAAAATCACAATAGTGGGAAAGCAAAAACAGGGAAAAAACAGAGGAATGTGCATTAGAAAACTATAGAAGTTGATAACAAAGGGAAAATGTTTTATAGAATGTCATGAATTGGTGAAAAATTGAATGTTGTATAATGGCAATGCTTGGTATTTGGGGGGAAAAAGATACAAAATTTGAAATGAGTGAATTAGATTTGGAACATTGGTTCAGTAATATGAACCCTCCCAGTAAAACTCACCCTAAAAATCAACTTGCAAAAGAAAGGTGCCCAATTAGTTTATATTCACAAGACCTAACCTATTTTGATTCAATGTAAAATAGGTTATATCTTGACTTAAACTTGTAAAGTGAAAGTTCATTCATGTGTTGTAGAGGTACATGTAGTCTTGATTTGGAGAATTACTAGAAATGACTAATATGTGGAGGTTTTTGGTTGTTACATTGCTGGGTAATGTGATTGTTTCCATGAGGGATTTAATGGCGTTTATTTAGCGACGTTTAAAAAAATGCCTCTGTTTTTAACATTTAACGGCGTTTTTATAAACGTCGCATTTTGTTTAATAATACGACCCCGTTTTAATTTCAGAAGTCGTTTTTAAAACGCCTTCGAATGTGTTCTTTTATGTTTTTTTAATATGCGAGAACATAATGCAGCGCATTCACTCTCTCCCTCCTTCTGTCTAAACCTTGATTTCACTCTCTCTCTCTGTCTCTCTCTCTCTCTCTCTCTTCAAACCCCTTCGTATTTGTAGAACCGCAGCTGAACCCCTTTGTATTCGTAGATCGATTCAAG